CAAAATTTAGAACAATAAATAACATAAAAATATTTTTGTACAACTAATTTTTGAGGCAGCACCCGTTAAACTTGTACACTCTAGGACAGTTAAAAAACCTCAACCCATCCTCTGAGAAGCATGCCGTGTTCTGGTTACCTACGTAGTCATTACCCCAGTTCTAACCCGAAGTGTTTTGTTGTGCGACTAATGTCATTGCAGCTTTTCACGGTCGTCAGGCCACAGTCTAATAGTCCTCGATGGCCATGTGAATAAAAACTACAACACGACAAACAACAATCCGAAAAACACTTTCTGCCTTACACAAGCTGGATGGTATTCCTAGTTTCCAGCAGTCGGGAAAGGTATTGGGCAACTTTTACAGCCAGATATAGAACAAGACAACATGCAGAAAGGATTACGAACTAGGGCAAACTAACCATCCCGAACACGACACATGGTAGTCCAGTTCCAGAATGCTGATTCGAAACAGCAACCTGCATCTTATCATTGCAGTCACCCCATGACCTACGTCATAACGATACTTTACTGTCTCAAGTTTTCACCACAGATCAGTAGTCGATGGTGTCGAACAATCTAGGGTTTTGAAGCAAAACAAACAAAAACCTGTAATTCAAAATTAGGTACTGTGGTTCTTAAAAGGAGCCGCAGGTTATTCAATACGAGTTCAAAACATTCATCATGCCTTTAACTTATCCAGTTCATGTACGGGTATCAGCAAGGACAAATAATAGTGACATTCATGCGCTTCAAAGATTTGCAACGCACCAAAGAATAGAGGATGACTTGCATTTGCAAGACTTCATGGAGCAAAGTCAAGGTGAGCCGACTGTAAAATGTAATTGATGCGTAAGTATCCTGTTCGAACCACAAGCATTGTTCAGCCTTACATAACGTCATCCATGAGCCACATTCAACATTTGACACACTTGTCATCACAGTGAGCGATGCGTATGATAAAACATCTGACTCCATGAATCTTTACAGAGAAAGTACTGACAGAAGGAAATATTACGGCATTAATATACGTTAAGGTCTTCAGTCCAGCTGTCACAAAGTAAGATGTGATTTATTGCCATGTTTGAAAATTGAAGGAGACTTATAGCACGTCTTAATAACAGATTGACCTTTTTATCCAGTGGTAATACTGGGAAATGTTGATAGTTTTTGACGAGAAAAAAAGCGAAGTAAATTAATATTTCTTCGACATGTTTGAGCGTGAACAAATCTATTTTTTATAGAGTGATTCCAATTACTGCATGTTACAAAAACAGGCATTTCATTTTTAACTATTTTGTGATTATTGTTCTTCTCTCTTATTTTAGGGTAGCATTTCTGAAAACAGTGAAAAAATCTCCTGCACATATTACGGGCAGATACACACAGGAATTAAATGCATTTTAAGCTAACTCCACCAATTAAATGACGTTCATAACTAATTTAAAGGCAATTTCATTAAAAAAAGAACGTCCAAATATGACGGGCACTGCATGAGTCGCAACTTAACAATAGAGATAACATACAGTCAAATTGGTGCTTATAACCTCTAATAAGTCATGATAATGTCAGGTGGGAAGGAAAGCCGATAGAAAGTTCATGTCAAACTCTAGGTTGCGACTCGCTGAATGCTGATTATCGGCAATATCTAAGATCTGGCAAGCTTGAAGGTATCTCCGGTTGTTGGCTACCAAAAAGGCTGACCACGATCTAACGTTTAATATAAACAACAAAACCTTCTCGTTCTATTGGATTGTGCCTTGTGGTCGTGTAAAATAAAACGTGATTTTTTAACGATTTGTTATTATGGTTCGTCATTATTTTCGTTGGAATTGATGAACAAACAAGCATTTTGAAAAGTTAAGTTTAAGAACGATTTTGAAAGCTGGACATTCTTACTGATAAATATAATACTGTATATTAAAATTGTATTTCACGTGCCAAAAATCATTTTCCTTAACCATTAGATGCTATAGCCGAGACAAGCAACATAAATTAAAATCAGCTTTACAAATTATAACGTGAAGTTGTTTGTAACCTTCTTATATCGGAATAAAGTTTGATCAACTTTAATAACATAATAATGTCTCATAAATTTTAGATGCAATTGAACATGTTTATGTAGTTAAAGTCGATTTTTTCTCGGTTTGTTGGTTGATGGTTTTGTTTTGATTTAGGTTATTTAAAATATACTCCAATTCATTGAAACATATACTTTTGAATGAACAATACAAAGGACCACTTAAAAACTCTTCCAATGAACGCAGGGCTTTGACGTTCTGTACTTTAACCAAGAAAACAATGATGATTGCTCAAGCATGTGTGACAATATATCTTAAAGCTGCACGGTGATTGGGTCATTAAAGTCATGATTTTACACACATATTGAAATTTTCCCAAAATACGACGATATCATAAACAGTTAGGGAGTAAAAAAGGCAGATAAAAATTTAAACTCTAAGAATGTACACTTTAAACTAGAATTCCAAAATAGATAATTTCGGCTGTTAACAAAGTGATTTATCAATTCAAAGGTTGTTTATGTTTATCTGTTAACAAATTCTGAACGTACAGTATTATGAAAGTCTACGTGGCGACGGGACGCCTGAAGCCGTTGGGAAGTTGCACCATCTAACTGTAGGACTTGGGCCACCTATTACCAAAACTGGCTACGGCTGACTGCGTGCAGTCGCAATATCCCATGATAAGCAAAATCCCAGATTTTCTCGTCTACGTATTTAATTTTTATTCTAACCGGCTTACGTCTTGCGTAATATAAAGGGAATATTAGTTTTCATTCTACGGATAACCTTTCTTTAAGTTTTACTGCATCGGGGAGATATCAACGAAAAGATTCACCACCATTTGAGTTAACATTCTGCAAATAACCAATAAGTTTAAAGTTATTAAGCAGAAAAATTAAAGGGGTTCACGTCGGAATCTTAAGCTCTCATGCTGCAGATAATATTTAAGTTTCATTAATACTTCAATACTTTTAAATTGAAATGGCAACCATACGAAGGTAGGATTCTTCAGAAAACTATAAATGGAGTGTAGTATGAGTGGCACGATCTTGTAGTCTTGTTACTGACGGTCGACATCTTCCTTAAGACAGGACTGGTTAATATACAGCCAATGGCGACTTAAGGACCTACAGTTTATAGTGGAATCATTGAGTAACTAGCTGTAACACTGGGCATTAAAGAGAATGTGTATAGCTTAAGTCTGTGAAACCTATGGCATAACACAACACACAGGCCATTACCAAAACAAAAACTAAAATTTTTAGGACCAATTCCAAATCGCAAACATCAGGTTGCAAATACACTGGAATGTTATAGCACGAAATTAAAGTCTTAGAATGCGAACCTCCAGTTTTTACGAAATGTGTAATAAATTTTAAATGCTTGACCACCGTACTTTCCCCATGTCAAGGTGATCAGGTAGGTTTAGGTATTTTACAATTCGCAAGTAAATTCTACTGGCTAGCCTGTGAATAATTTGTACTTTCCACTTTCTCATTCCTGTATTCTCTTTCTCTGGAGACGAGTTATCTCCTATTCGCACCATAAACTGTGATAACTGTCCGGTTGTCTGGACCTAGATGATGGTGGTCAAACCAGGAGAGTAGTACTATTTGTGTGACATTTACATTTGGAATTTGTACAATGATGGCGGTTGTGTTTTAGGAAAAAATAGGACAACTGTTTTGTTATGTAATACTGAATTTACGCAAAATGTTGCTGTCAAAAGTATTACCTTTGACTATTAATACAACGTCAATGGTATTACATAAGTTCAAAATATATTTATATACACAAAATGTTAGGAGTTTTGATTTATATTGTCAGTTATTAGTTTAATTAGAGTTAAATTCCTCGAATGTTACCGTTAGATTTTCGTTACCATCGTATCCTTGAGTTAAAGCGGAACCATTGAATAATTAGTATGAATTACCTGCATATGATATACATTATGTAAGATATATAAACAAAAATCATGTATGTTATGCAGGGTGACAAAGGACGATTTTATAACTTTAAAACGGAAAGAGATATCATAACCAAATTTGGTATATCAATACTGGTAATAGTTAGCAACCTTTTTGTGTACATGGTGATCGGATGTCACCTATGGGGGACGGCCTATAGGAAGTAAGCTGAAAATCTTAAAAGGTAGCATAGGGTTGATATATACATGAAATTAAAAGTCTTGTTAAGCAGGAAACAATGCCGTTAACCTGACTTCAAATGGACAACTGAGTCAAAAATGGCAGCCAATTAAAGATTACTTGAATCTGTCTTTTTGAATTTTTAAAACGGCAGCTATTTTTTAATCAGTTGTTCTTTTGAGATCAAATTTGCGGAATTATTTTTTACTAATAAAGACCTTTAATTTGATGTGAATATCGAGCTATCCTTAACTTTAAGATTTCAAGCTTACTCCCTATGGGCCGTCCCCCATAGGTGACATACGGTCACCATGCACACAAAAAAGTAGATTACTATTACCAGTAATGATATCCTAAATTTGGTTATGACATAGCTTTTCGTTTTAAAGTTATAAAGTCGTCCTATGACTTAATTGTCACCCTGTATAAATTAATGTTTGATCAGTATTATGATATTACACATCTATGATATTACTTCATCCGTTGCTGAACTCAAATGAACTCACTGTGTTGCGATTCTACCGCGGTGCGCCACTGGATGAAACTGAAGATACTGAACTACTTACTGAGTTAACTGGAGTTTTTCGTTTAGCTGTAATTTATATCCCCATAAGTTCTTCTCTTGAAATTACATCTAGATCGCTTCTAATGCACTTATACAACGTGTAAATACTCTTCCTTGCAGTATGACAGGACAAACTTATAGATTATTGAAACTTAGGATTAGGAATATTAAATAATACTTTTTTTATGTCACTGCCTGTTTTTGATACTTAATAGTTTAGTTTGTACAAACAAATCTTCAACAGATATAGTCAATAAATGAACTTACCTTAGAGTCGTTCTTGAAACACCAGAGGACGATCTTGGGCGCACAACCCGAGACCTACAAAAAAGTTGAGCTCAGTAACACATATGAAACGGAAAATAATTTTAAGAATTCCCGATTATAAATCTAACACTTATTCAACAACACAAAAGTCAACTTGCACTGTGTAAATCACAATTGTGACAACGGTAGATTAGTTTAGACTCCTCGCAGGACCAGCGTCCGACTGTATGTCTGTCCGACTTTCCACATCCGACAGCAGCGAACCTGTCGGTCAAGGAGAACAACTCTGGTCCTTATGGCATGCTTATTACAGGACTGGGTGATTCGGCATGTTATATGCGGTAATCACACTGCTTTAGGGCGAAATAAATATTCAGGTCACTGTCCGAGTGGTCGCGTTTGTTTTGGTTCTCGAAGACCTCTTCTACATTTGGTTTTACTTAAACGTAGAAAGAGACCATGAGTTTAAAATGCATAAACCTTAGTGTTAGGGGTAAATGAAACTGCAAGAGATATAACCAAAAAGTTTGTTGTTCAAAATTATTTTACGGACATAATGTAAATGTACCAATAAATAATTTAAAATTGATTCTGAATCGTGAATCCATTAGATTGTCAGTATATAGGATACTGAGAGTCGATGTAATTGCTTAAAATTAAATGTAACCTCATAGTTTTAACATCCTTAAGGATTACCCGAAGACAATTTGAAGATACCGTATCTTCCTGTGCCGTATATTTAGAGGGTTGTTTGATATTGTTCTATTTCATTGTTTTTCAATTACATAAAAATAATATTCACGGTATAAATACATTTGTTTATGAACTGCTCTATGGCATTAAAGGGAACGATTATATTTACCCTAAAATATGAGAGTAAAAAACATGCATTCGAAACGAGCGCAGGAAAACGTAAGCGGATATGAAACATGCATCAAAACACGCGTAGACCATACTACAGTATGAAAAGTCGAATTGTAGTGTCCAAATTAATGGTTTTACAATCAAGAAGGTACTAGTTGAGGAGTGTAGGGGTCCCGGCCACTGGTCGTAAATTCAGGGACCATATTTATATAAACTAACCTAACCTAACCTAACCAAACTTCTATATGTGGATTAGGGCCAAAAGGGCCGGTTCTTCGTTTCCCCTAGCTGAGTTAGAACATTGTAAGGCACAATTCCCTCTTCAGGGTGGCACTAAAAAAATTAGCACAACCATAAAGACCAATTACAAACTTGACACAAAGAAGCTCAGTAAAGACAAACCTGTATATTCATTTACTGAATGAGGTTTCATGTATGATATTCTGATTTTAAGAAAGATTTTTGAATTTTAGGGTCTGACAGAAATTTGCCAAAAAATAGTAAATTATGTAGGCACCGTTGGTCTCCTGAATGTTAATTTATGCTCTAAAAACCCAGATTTGATTCGTTTTTAGGGATCCGTTTTAGAAAGAGAAAGTGCCAAACAATTGTAAAGTATATATAAAGTAAGATTTTGATGGTCAAATTTACAGTATACATATATGTTCTGTGTTTATAGCCAGGGTAGATATAACATAAACCAATATGAATATTTTTACATCCAACCTAAAGGTCAATAGTTTATGATTCTATACCACCATAAAACTCTAGTCTATGATTTTGCTTAAAGATGAATCAACCTCGCCGTAACGTTCGTAATAAATGGAGCACTCTCTTGCTTGGTAATAAACTGAAACGTAATAAAATGACTGAGAGTGCTTAACCACTGTTAAATGATGATATCCTCCTTTTACAGCCTGTTTCATGATACAAGACTTGATTTTGCTTTATATAACATTGGTGTAAAAGAAAAATATTCAGTAATCTTTTTATTATTTTATACACACCTAATGAAATGTGTGCATGCACTATGCTTGTAATTAATTACATTTTAATGGAATAACTATTAGGATCAATAAGAAAAAAAAACTTAACTTGACAAAAGTATATTTTGTTCATGAGAATCCTCATGAAGAATTTCATGAGAATCCTGCTAAAGTTTTTTTTTTGTCTTTCAGTTTGTGGTTTACACATTGCACAAAATTTAATTTTCGCAAAGACTACTGCTAATCCCATTTTTTCACTCTCATCGCCCAAATTTGTAACATACCACCTCTTCGTAAAATAGAATAAATAGACATAATAACGATAAGGAAATAGTTTTTAATAGTTAATCAATAACCAGTACACATTAATTAAAAATAACCCCCCACCTAATAATGCTGTTTAACCGATTAAAACTCATTTTCAAATCAGAAATCCTCATACTTTTCTCATTAATTTTTATGCAAAACAAGAAGACATTACTAACACAAAACATTACTACTTTATACACACTCTGTATATTACACGATTTATAAAGACACTTTTTGGGGAATACTAATAAACATAATATAAAATTAACTTCATGAAAATAAAGCTAAACATATTTAACTTTTTATATAACAATAATGTACATGTTAAAGTTATTTGTAATTATATATAATCACATATGTCAAGAATATACTGTAATATACAAATTTAGTAGTACAAGGATAGCAGAAACTATACGTTTGTAGCGGTTGGGATCACTGGCTTTCCGAATACGTTGTTTTGACTGTAACCCGAAGACGCCCGATTACTTTCTCACGTGTTCGAAATTTCAAATCAGCTGTGAAGGCGAACCAGCTGTTGCGATAGATCAGCTGATGGCGGCAAACGGAGGCTTAATTTATGGCACCTTTCAACTGGACCGATGTGACTGAATGTGATTTCAACATATTTGTCGGAGCCATTTAAATGATGTTCGAATTTTTATGTTGTTGTTTAGAAATAAGGCAAGGAAAACAGTTGGTGAAATATAACTAAGGAGAATACCTAATAACTTAAAACAACCTGAAATAACAGTTAAATTAGAGGATTGTCTCCTCATTTCATTTTTTGAGAGGACATTTTGTTCTCTAGGCCCGAGTTAAAATCCCTCTAATCATAAATGACGTTTAAATATGCGATAGAGCCTTATCTCGGCAATTTATAGCAACCTCATGTCGGCCTTAGTCACTAACAAGACTACAAGATCGTGCCACTCATCCCATACTCATCCTTCACTCATATTTGGGTTAAAATACGCACATAGTGGCGTCCCCATCTTAAATAATTGAATTGATTGATACTTCATTTATATTTTAAAATGAAGATCCAATAATACATTTCGTGAACCAATTTTCCTGCTTAGTTAAAAATAAACATGTGTTTTACTCATGTTTGGTCATATTATCTAAGGTAGGCATTAGCTAAATTTGAATATATTTGACACGACATAATGCCCTAACCTCTTAACATCACTATTAGTGAACCAGCATAAGAGAGGGGATATTGTTTCAAAGCAAAAGCAAGTGCCCAAGTAATTATTCAATTAATATTTAGGAGCTGAGGCTGACCACTTTCTCTGGCAGCGTCCGGCAGTTCCCCGTTATAAATCTTGATATAATTTTGGTGAATGCTAACCACCTGTTATAACCAGTAGAGATAAGCTGAATTGCTGATATCTTGGTGTACAAATTAATGGTTCTGTCTTGAATGGAGTTTCGCAATACTTCTCCGTCGTTTGGATACGTTATTTATTTATTATTCGCGATGTCAGTTGGATACATTTCATTTTTATATTATTATTTACATTACCAGTAAACTCTTTTTTACTTTCTGTACACAGAATTCTTATTTTTTACATTACTGTGTGTCTCTTGTTCGTACAACTCTGTTCTGTTTGTTTAAAGCTACATGAACAGATTTTTATTATATATTTTATTTTATAATCCTTATTCTTCTGTGCTGACGTTGTGTTGAGCTTTTGGTAATATGTAGTATTGTCACTGTTTGTCAAGAATCTTGCTGATTATCTATTCACACGTTTATATGCTTTTCCATAATTTGTTTATATATCATTCATATTTTTGTATTTAGCGTGAATACATAATTCTTATTGTTTGAAAATAAAAAATTACAAAATATAAACTATGATTAAAATAAAAAGGACATTTTCTGCATTACTTAATTGATTTACTTTAAGAAACTTCGCAGACATAGGCAAATGCTGCCTGTGCGTCTGCTGGGTTGCTATTTAAAACATTGTTTCATTATGGTGTTCCTATGCTATAATATCTTTCCATCTTTATGTCTATATACTAATTTTGTTTATTTATAGGATGGTTTTTGAACTATGTGAAATTTTTAATAACCATAAATAGTATAATAATGCTGTATGTTATTAAGTTAGACTAATTTAAAAAGGAAACTTCTCAAATCCTTTTATCACTAACAATTGATATCTCAACGTTTTTCAAGTACAATTTGCAATCTATATTAAAAATGTTGTACGAAGGTGCATTAAAACTCCAAATTAGTTTTAGTCGTTTCCATAATATTCTTTTATGATGCCATTTTTGGTACACAATCAAGAGTGCTAGGCGTAAGGAATTCCTAAGGCATACTAGGTAGTTTGATAGCTGGTGTAGGGATTGCTGCAGTTTTTGTAACCTGTATAAGCTATAATGGGCGTATTTGTCTGAATCACAGTTGAGGTATAGCCCGTTACAATAGTTAAGTTTATCTTCATAGTATTTGGTGTCGTGTTTAGCTATTGTAGCAACATGCTTAAATCAGTGGTAAATTGTATTACACAAACGTTTACTGCGTATCCGCATGTGGTATTTTTTTCTTTTTTTTTGTCCTAAGGACGCTAGGCACGAGCCTGGGATTGTTTTTCACATTACTTCAGGCTAGACCTAGGGGTTGCGGCATTATCACTTAGATAAAATACATTGGTGACTTGGCGGGGATCGAACTCGGGACCTCAGGGACTGAAGTCCCGCGCTCTAACCACTACGCCAGCTCGCTCCCCATGTGGTATTAGCTGTATTGGGATTCATTATTACCATATATTAAACATACTCCCTAAGGGAGTATGTTTAATCTATGTTATTACTAACCTGAAGATGGCACTATAAGAGTGTTGAAACGCTACCTGGAAATATGGGACACATGATAAAACA